ATCCTGTCTGTGTCATCAAGCTCAAGCCAGCTCTAAAGTTTTGATTCGACACAGCGCTTTGGCTTGAATCCAGAAGCTTCAGGTAGCTTAAAGACACAATACCTAATTTCTCAGCGCGACTAGCAGACCGTTTGAAACAATTTTCGGAAAAATGGTCTAAATGAGCTAAAGAATAGTTCAGTATGTGGATGAGCTAAAGAATAGTTCAGTATGTGGATGAGCCTGATCATGGCGAAAACGGAGTTTCCACTTTCCCCCAATGTCTAGGCTCCATTCTGGAGAAATTCTGAAGTAAGGTTGGGCTTCACCACTTAAAACGATGCCTGGGGATGCAACCGCGTAGGAAACAAACCAATTGGGAAATTTCGACACGGGCCGCGATACAGATTTCACCAAAGTTCAGCGGCAACTCGAAGGTCCATCGATCAGTTTGTTAAGAGTCGGCGCCCTTTTGTTGTCGTATGTCTCAAGGAAAACAAATTGAGCCGAACTCGTCAATATGTACCAAGGGTCCACTATTACAAAATGTATGGCTGTTAAACAGGGGATGTAGGGCGTCCGTGGGCTGCCGCGACACAACTTATTTGACGCAAAACAGACTGCCGGGGTAACTAGACAGGTATATTAGCTGGGTTGAGGGCGATACCACGCTGTAGATGTCTGAAATACACCAGCCTATGTTCAGTTCTACTCATTCTGGATGAATGGCGCCCTGAATAAGAGTAAGGGACAAGTAGACAGCTCAGGATCCTTGAGTGTTCTCTTGAGAGCCTTTCAATTCGTAGGTGAACCATATTTATGGCTCTACTTCGAAACTGAATAACTGACTGGGGTCGATCTTCATACCATGGATAGATCGAACAATACTTCGTCAAGAACGATTCGCGATGACCTCGATGCTGCGGACGCCAGAGCTAATCTACTCGAATACACTCTAGATTAGTGAAGACCTCCATCGGCTAACTTTTTGACGATTTCCTTCTTTGACAGTGCTGAAGGTAAGTAGAAAGGAAAATTATCCGCGAATAAGGTAGTATTTTGCCTGGCAAGCATATATACAGCATCGCTGCTCAAGGGCTGCGGAGCGTATTGCGTAATATCCCATATTCCTGTACGAACATCTCCTCTGGCTATAATACTCATAGAAGTCCCTGACGGCGTGGCCTCGTACTCGAAGCACACCTTTAGTGAGACTATATTAATTTTGGGACAGCGGTGTCAACTTATTGCTCAAACGAAGAACCAAGAAGAAGTTGTCTCAAATTGAAAGCGATCCTTCACAGTACCCATTACTATTGTCCATGTTCAAGTGCCATGCCGTACCAAAACTTCTCAGGGATAAAGGTGTAGTACGGCTTCTATTTCGTCTGAGCCCTCGTCAATATTTCAGCTGGAGCCCTCACTTCCCTTAAATTGGCACCACATTTTTAAAGAGACGGAGTGACAATTTTGCTAACGGTACCTACCCCTGACCCAGCTACGGATGAGGGTTGTCGCGTAGTTGCTACCTCTTTCTGTGGGAGGGACGCCTGTCGAGACGGAAATTTCCCTGGACGCCATGTTTGACCCTGCTGTCCAAGAAACAGAATTGTAGAAGTCGCCTTTTAGTTGACAGTTCAAATATCTAGTAACCCTGGAAAACCTTCGAAGTTAACCAGTTCACAATAAGCGACATCAGGTGACCCCTACGTTCGCGAATAAACATCAGATCTAGTTACCAGAGGTTACTTCATGTTGCCGTTAAACGCTTACCATCTCTGTAATCTAGTTTAGAAGTAGTTTCTAGAGTAGATTAGCAACTAAACAAACATAAACCGGTCTTTTGTCCACGCTGCGACCTTCAGCTGTGAGTTCAGCTACTCTCTCTGTGCCCTTGAAATGGCGCTACCTTGCGGGCAAATCCAGTTGCCGAACGATTTCCTAACAATTAGTCGCTTTTTCGCGCTTAGCGACATTCGCTTTCAGTGATGTTCGAACAAGTGACATAATGTTCGGTAAGAAGAAGTCAGCTAGCAATTGAAGTTTCTTTGGAAACTTGCCAATTCTCGCTCAAGGCAGTCAAAGACCATTTTGGTGGTCTCACACAGAGAACTATGGACCTCACTAGTGCAGTTCTTCCTTTTTTCGACCTTAGAAGGGGCGCATCAGTGGAAAAGGCGCAACAAATTTAATGTCTCTGGTCATTCAGCTATCGAGGAGTATTTCAAACGTGTCAGAAGATTTGTTACGTGAAGAAAGTACACGACCCCAGTTTTTCGTGCGTGATGTTAGAATGCAACTCAAAATTATATGAAATGCAAACCATGTGCTCCGAAATCTGAAGCACTTTTTTAAATTTTTTAGATTTTTCGGCTCAGAAAGCCGTTTTTAAACTGCAAAAATTTCAGCGATTATGGTGTGAAAATAGGCGAACAGGCACGCTACTGTCACTGCTTCTATGAGTTTTCCGTTTATCACATTATTATTCCCACTCCTAGTATTTCATAATTTTATTTTTTATCAAATTCGTTATTATTTTTCTTTTTGTTTAGTATTTCATAATATTTGAAACTGAAAAGTTTCCAACTATAATGTTACCTTTACCATGTTTACATGAATGCTCACCTCGTCTTTACAATTCTGTGCCACCCCACCTAACGCGACTGCTTTCGCAGAGTTCTGTCCATGTCATATCGGCCATGACGCGAAACTCGTCCGAATCGATACGCAGCTGAAAACAGTAACTTTCCGCTGTTTGATAGAAAACTAATTTATTGAGGCTGGCATCATGTTACTTATAATTCTTGTATAAAGTAATGAGAAGCCAAGTCGAGGTCCTTAGCTTAGGTGAACCAGGCTGTGCGATGGCAGAAGCAGATGTAGTCGAATAGGTTTTTCCGATGTTTCTACAAAATTCTGGGTCTAAGATCCCTGAGGGGTGTCTCTCATTTAGCTGTAACTCTTTTTCAACCCACTGCAAGTACAACATGGTTGGCACAATCTCTTAGGTTACATCAGATTTGAGCAAGGGAGACAGGGGCTGTATCTCGGCTCGAAATAATTCCTTCCAAACTGCTCCGGATTGCGGGCAGAATTTTTCTATTTGTTGACTTTCCCGTTTCAACGCAACTATCCCACCTTCCCCTCCTTCTTCGGCACAAGCTTTTTCGGAAAACAAGTGAAATTTCCTCGAAAATTGCAAAGGGTTTGGAAGATTGTAGTTCGGTACGGGGGTAGGTGTTATTATGAAGTGGGAACTCGAGAGGCACATCTGGGGGTGGGAGGGGGAAGGGGGGAATACTGGACACCTCTTTCTACCTAAACCCCATGCTATATCTTTTATTGTCAGCCTTGCTACCTTGGACTGTCCACGGTTTCTACAAGTGCAAATATCCTGTAGTACACAGATACAGCATCGAGACGGATGAACCGGCGTCAGTGCTCCCTTCACCCCACCAATTGTCCCCTTCAAAGACGTACCCCATTACTGTTCTCGCTGAGTCCTTCGAACATATTTTCTCATTATCGGATTGAAAATACACAATATATACGATTTCACGGCGCGCTTCAAAAAGAGGTAGGCTAAGCAGGATGAAATCACCTACCTGATCATTGATATTTTGAATTTTCATCACCAATGCTGGAACGTAGAATAGGCAGACAAACAGCGCTCCAGTGGAACATGCGCAGGCCATAAGGCCAGCGTTTCGAGCGGAGAACATCTGAACACAGGCTAGTTGAGATGCGAAGTCATTAAGGCAGACGTATAAAAACGATAAGTCATCCAACATTGATCAATTGCATTTCAGCATATGCCTCAAAAGCCTTAGGATAGCAGATAGTGATTTGGTCCTACATGATGTTGCGTGAAGGTCCGTTTGATGTTGCCGCGAAGAGGTCCGTTTAAGGAACAAATCAGCCTTTGTTGGATCAGGCACTGCACCATCAGGGTATCTTATATTTGCCGTCGGTGTCACTGAACGAAGCATGAGACCTGGCGATTTCTGTGTGCGCCGATAAAGCAGCGTTACACTGGGAAATTTGCAAAGCGGTCGCGCCACAGTTGGAATCGCGCGCGCGATATCCGCGCCAAGATCTGAATGGTTCAATAGGAAAGATAGTACAGTATGGAGAATGGTTGGGGAAAAATCAGAATCTCGTTGCGCGCCGCTATCACGGACGTGCTTCCTAGCAAAGATAAAAACGAGTGGCCTACTGAAATCAAGCTCATGACCACGACTTAGAATTTTCATCAGCCAGTGTACTGAGGAAAAGAGAGCCGAAAGCCAGCATGACTTCACGTTAAGCACTATGTTGGCAGATAGAGCGCTGGCGTTTTTGGAAACCATAGAGCCATTAGTTCCTGCACAATTAATAGTCGAAACGGTGAGCTACTTCTGAAGAAGGCCTAAGTCAAGGCAGGAATGCCAACAAAGTACACTTTGGAGAACAGAGGCTGTTGAAGTGGTAGGATACCGTCTCTGAACTGCACAGGCCACACCTTCGTTTGCCTCCAGCCACACCGATCGTATAATAAGAAGCGAGAGATCAGTTTTTTGACGAAGATCTTGTCATTCAGCTGCGACCAAACACGTAATTCCCTGCTGTGAAGGCCAATCTTCAAGTGAAACCTCAGCGAGGTCCCGTTCGTTGACCTTGACGTCGTTTTGGCAGCCCATCACATAGCCGGTTTGCGGGAAAGTGCGAAAAAAAACGAGTGCAAGAAGTAAGTGGCAGAAACTCATCGTAGAAGACATAGTTGATAGTTCCATCCTTTCATACCCCGCCATTTTTCTTCATCTTCAAGGACTGGGTTAGTCTGTTCGGGAGGTTCTTCTTGTAATTAATAGCCTTCTAGGAACGTCGTCAAAAGAGGAACTTGTAAAGTGAGCTGTATTTTCTGAGAGTTCGGCTCAGAGAATAGCAGTTGCACAAACGAAGTACATTTGAAGGGCCATCTTCAGGTGATATATGCTATGACAAGGCCACATTCCGGCTGATTTTATTGTTGGTGTCTTTGGAATCATTGTTCTTGCCTCATTGCTCCCCTGTTTGCCATTTCAGAGGGTCCGTCAGTTATGGGAGGAAGGAGGTAGGTAGTGTGCTAGAAAGTAGCAGGCTTATCGCAAACGCGGCCTAGAGGGCAAATCCTGAATTGGCTCCTGCCCTAGCCAACCAAATATCCTACCCTCAGATACAGGAAAGTTGGTATCAGATTTGTTTGAAAGCATAAATAGTATCAATTCCACTCAGAATATGACTCCCATGGACATTGAAAGAACACTGGATGACCCCTCTCCCTCGCCAGTCATTGTATAGGCCATATTCTGAGTGGAATTGGTACTCGTTCCTCATTTCAGAAAGGGATAATCGGGAGCAAAACCGCCATTTTTTTGAATGACTTAATAAGAGAGAAAAATTCCAACTCTTGTGTAATACCAAATCGTTTCCATTGAGGGTGTCGCCGTTTCACAATCCTCAATCTTCCGAAGCAATTGTGTAGATGTGCATGTTTTATTGGAAATTGCAAGACGCCGATCAGAAACGGCTATTCTCTTGTTCCTATTTTATGCCGAGGCTTAATGCGGTTTCATGTCAAAATCGAGAAAAACAAAAAGGGTTGTCGTTCTTCTAAATGTGGATTCATCCCCGGCTTTTTCCAGGAAGGGTAGCGCGAAGCTGCAGTGTTTCAGTCGTGGTCAAGAACCTCAAGATATATTGATAAAATGATGAATATGGTTTTATCAAAAGTCTGGTATGTCGCATGATACCCCTTCAAGAACATGTGGGAACTATGGCGCATCATCGTTGTTCAAATCTCATCGGGAATCACTCCCCCTTTACTTAGAGACTCGACAAAACTACTGGGCAGTTGATAGCAAATGTCTAGCCCCACTTCCCACAGCTGGAAAACTTTTGGAAAATCTGGTGCGGTAGCGGGTAGGTTATGAGAGGTGAATCCTGGCCACAATTTACCCTCCCCCCTTTTTGAGGGTTCTGATGAGAAATCCTTCAGTCTGTTCCATTTCATTCCAGGAACATTTAAACTAGGTTCAAATGGAGAAGACCGCGTGATGTAATCAAGATGTCACTGTTCTAATGACATTCCCCGTCGTTGGGAAGATAGGACCTTACACCGGGAGCATGGGTTATGGGGCCACTTTTTTATGGGCTTTTATAGGTAACAATTCTGATCCTTTTTCCTCTGCGCACTGAGAGGGGGCAGGCGACATGCAAGGGGAAGGATTTCTGTATAAAAGGTAGAGGAGCTGTAATACCCTTTTAGGAGATCCTTAGGTTTCAGGTCGCTCTATAAGCCTTAGATTCTTGAATCATAGAGAAAAAAGCGCTCGAGAGTGTTCACAAACCAGAGGAGAGACTAAATAAGCGAGAGCCTCAAATTCTGTGGAGAAGAGGAAGGAAGATGAGGCGAAGGAGGTGGAGGTGTGGTGACAGTCCAGGTAGGCGATTTGGCCTATATATAAGCGGTCGAGCGAGTGTGACGCGATCTGGCGTGAAACCTGTCCTCACTTACCCGAAAGTGGCCTAAAAGGCTGTGCACCATCACATTGGCGCGCCCCGAAAAAGTCGCCAACGAAACGTGGCGACGAGATGTACTCATTCCATCTTATGGGGTTGAATAATCATCACATGGAATAATTCAGCGTGACCGCAATGATTAAACACTTTTCAGTTTCACTGCAGTTGTCATGACAGATGCCAGCGCAGATAACAGATTATGTGCCGAGCGTTTTCGGTCTTTGTGTTTTATTCACGGAGATGAATGTTCTATAGGGTACAGCAACGCGGTGTGTGAGTAGTGGTGTGGGTACGAGCCCCCCCTCTCCCACAATGGGGTCCTCGGTACAATTCTCCCTTCCCCAACACCTACCTACCCCCTTCCCACATTTTCCAGTTTTTTATCCAAAAACTTTCCGTCAATTGAGAGTGGGGGAGAGGTGGGGGGGGGGGGGGCGGGCTGTATTGTGCTTATGAAACAGTGAAAATCAAGCGAAAGTCAAACACTCGGGGAAATCTATCACAAGAATGCTGAGTTGTGGGCAAAAGTCGTGCCCCAGGCGGGAGTCGAACCCGCACCTCACGCTTTCCGGGCGAGTGCGCTATCCGTTACGCCACCAGGGCCGCTTTTACCCTCTCAGCTTAACGGCTTTTATGCCGTAGCCTATCAGCACTCACACGTTTAACTTGGTGAGCCGGTCAGCCGTAATCGATGGGATATCGGCATGAAACCGCGAGGCCTAAGGCTTTAGATGTTTTTGAAGCTGTTTTTGTTTGATAACTGCTGTTTTACGCCGCAGTACGCGTTGCGAAAGTTATCACAAGAATGCTGAGTTGTGGGCAAAAGTCGTGCCCCAGGCGGGAGTCGAACCCGCACCTCACGCTTTCCGGGCGAGTGCGCTATCCGTTACGCCACCAGGGCCGCTTTTACCCTCTCAGCTTAACGGCTTTTATGCCTTAGGCCTCGCGGTTTCATGCCGATATCCCATCGATTACGGCTGACCGGCTCACCAAGTTAAACGTGTGAGTGCTGATAGGCTACGGCATAAAAGCCGTTAAGCTGAGAGGGTAAAAGCGGCCCTGGTGGCGTAACGGATAGCGCACTCGCCCGGAAAGCGTGAGGTGCGGGTTCGACTCCCGCCTGGGGCACGACTTTTGCCCACAACTCAGCATTCTTGTGATAACTTTCGCAACGCGTACTGCGGCGTAAAACAGCAGTTATCAAACAACAGCTTTCAAAACATCTAGCCTTAGGCCTCGCGGTTTCATGCTCGATATCACATCGATTACGGCTGACCGGCTCACCAAGTTAAACGTGTGAGTGCTGATAGGCTACGGCATAAAAGCCGTCAAGCTGAGAGGGTAAAAGCGGCCCTGGTGGCGTAACGGATAGCGCACTCGCCCGGCGTGAGGTGCGGGTTTGACTCACGGCTGGGGCACGACTTTTGCCACACTTCAGCATTCTTGGATACTTTCGCAACGCCGTACTGAGGCCGCGTTAAAACAGCAGCTTAGTCATAACAAAACAGCTTTCAAAAACATCTAAAGCCTTAGGCCTCGCGGTTTCATGCCGATATCCCATCGATTACGGCTGACCGGCTCACCAAGTTAAACGTGTGAGTGCTGATAGGCTACGGCATAAAAGCCGTTAAGCTGAGAGGGTAAAAGCGGCCCTGGTGGCGTAACGGATAGCGCACTCGCCCGGAAAGCGTGAGGTGCGGGTTCGACTCCCGCCTGGGGCACGACTTTTGCCCACAACTCAGCATTCTTGTGATAACTTTCGCAACGCGTACTGCGGCGTAAAACAGCAGTATATCAAGCGAAAAGTCAAAACACCCGGGAAAATGTTTTTCCCAACCGCGGCAAGCTTCTGTCAAACCCCCTTCCCGACCAAATACGACCCGCCCTACCCAGCCGGAAAGTACGTCTTCATGTGCTTCACCACCATGCTGTACCCTGGTGTTGTATGGGGCTGCTGCGAAAAGTTATTAAAATGAGGTTTATCGGGTTCAGAATTGCTGGGTTCATACAGGAACCCGCCGTTGACGTGAAGTGGTTCCTTTGCCCCTTTTCGGTTTTGTGATTTTTCCTTTTTTCCTGTACATCTTTTTGATAGCAGCTGATATCCGGCACTAATGGATAAGTCGAAGATACGTATAGTTGTAAACTTATTTTTATCATGAAACTGCTGCTCGTCGAGGCA